GGCTGGAGGGGGGTCACTGTAGGCAGGTGGTGGGGCTGGAGGGCGGTCACTGTAGGCAGGTGGTGGGGCTGGAGGGGGGTCATGGGTGTGCCCTGGAAGGAGTGCTCTTCCTGGCCCTTCCCGCTCTCTGAATGCTTCCTGACCCTGTCGTGAGCCGAGCAGCTCTCCTGTCCTGGGCTTGGCCACCATGCCCCGCCCCTATGTGTTGAGGCCCCCAAAACCCTGGGCCCCAAACAAACTCTCCCTCCTCTGAGTTGTTCCCACTGGGTGTCCTGGTCACAGCCACATGACAGCTGACTAACACCGTCCACAGCCGAAGGTGGAGGCTTCAGAAGGGCCCTGTTCTCTGGAGCTTCACGGTGTGGCATCTCCTGTTCCCTGGTGACCGTCCTCGGTTCCTGGTGGGGCTGAGGGGGCGGAGTTGGCAGCTGCCGGAAGGGGCCTCATACGCTGTAGTCAGGGGCCTCTCTACCCGTCTCAGATTCTTCTGAGGGCCATATTTCTCTCTCCCTCTCTAGAAGTGCTGAATACATTTTTTTGAGCTGTTTACTTAGCCACAGTTAGTCATCTTAACTAAAGCTGGTGAACAACAAAACCAAACCCAGAAAGAGGTCATGTGGACGAAGGCCCAGAAGATGTGTAGGAAGCCGGCAGACGAGAAGGGGGCCTGGGGCAGAGAGTGAAGGCTGGGGGTGGGAGAGAAGGCGGGGCCGGGTGAGGGCTCCACACAGATGTGGGCAGCGGGGCCGGAGGGGACCCTCATGTGCTGAATTACGCAGAGGATGTCAGAGCCCCAGTGCCAGGTGGCGCTGAGATGCAGAGGAATGCAGCGCCCCACCCTCTGCATACCCGCCACCCTCACCTTCAGGAACCAGCTCCACCTCCCCCAGAACCTGCTTCCTGAGGGGCTCAGCTGCAGCCCTGGGGCTGAGAAGGGCATAGAGCTGAGCACAGGCCGGGCAGGGAGACAGCAGCAGAGCCCAGCTGCCAGGAACCTGCTGTCCCCAGTGGTCCTGAGGCTGCTGGGAAGGAGGGGAGGGTGCAGAATCAAGTACGACTAGCAAACCTTTGTTACCCCCTGAGGTCATCCTTTGTCTACTTTTAAAAAAATCTTAAAGAGTTGAGAGAGGTGACCCCACTTCCCAATGGGGACTGCGGAGCAGTCTGACCGCTTCAGAGCAGTGTCACACTGGAAATGGGAACTTCTTCTTTCCCACGGTCGGGGGCCCAGAACCCAGGAGAGGACTCCAGGCCAGGAAGTCACCTACTTCTGTGCCCTGGAGCAAGAGGAACGGGAGCTTCCGCCCCTGTGGGAAGAAACTCTTCTCCACCTGGCCCCAGGAATCCCCGGAACTTTCCAGAAATGGCAAGAGATGGGAGGGGTCAACCCCTCCTACCCTCCAAACTAGTTTCTTTTCTGCTTTTCCAGGAAGCAGTGCCGGGGCTTCTGGGGACAGAGACTCAGCTCCCGGGGCAGCCCTCCCACCCAGGGCAGAATCCGGCCAGGCAGCCTCTGCCGCAGCTGAAATCCATCCAGCAGTGAGCGCCTCCCCATCGGAGGCCGGGGAAAGACTGCTGATCAACCCAGCGTCCATGATCAACAGACACCTTGAGAGCACGATTATCATGAAGTACCTTTCAGCGATTTAGGACTGGACGGCTTAAGTGGCTGAGCTGGTTCACCTCGGGCTGCTGCCAACCATCCACCCACTGTAGGCATGGCTCTCGGGCGTCTGCCCTGAGCCGCTGCTTCTCCTGGGCGCTGGCAAACCCTCCCAGCGCCATCTCCCTGCAGCTCTGCCGGTATCCAAGCACCTGGAGGCACCACCCCCAGATGTACCTCCTGCACAGCCACCCTGGGTGGGAGGGACCTCATCGACTGCAGTGTTTCTAGTACGTCTGGGGGGCTGGTGGTGGGACCCCACGGTGGCCGAGGTCTGAGAGCCAAGCTAGCCGTGGGAATCTCTGAGCCCCACTCAAGATGCCACATCTCCTGCCCTGGTGAGCAGGCCCCAGCTGAGCGTGGCTCGGGGGCGGGGGGGGGTGTGTGCTCCGTCCCTGGCACCAGCAGGTCAACAGTTGTCCTTCCTCGAGGTGGAAATGCCAGGTGACGGGAAAGCCCGCAGGTGGCAGAGGAGGAGCAGAGTCAGGAAACCCACCCCAGGCAGTGGCGGCTGGCCCGGACCTCCACCTGAAAGAACTTTGGTGGACCTCCTACCAGCCACACCTGAGCTGTGTCCGCGGTCACAGAGCCAGGCTGGGAGGTCCCTGAACTGCCTTCCAGCTCTCCGTCTCCAGCCGGGCTCTGCCACCCGCAGGCTGGCCTCACTCTTGCTGTGCTCAGCCCCCTGGGGACCCTCCTTAGGCCACCCTCCCCTCACTTGCTCTGGCCACATGCCCTGTGCCCACTGGCATCTCCTGCAGCGTTCCCAGCCACCCAGCCACCATCCCCAGTGAGACCCGGGCCGGGCTGTGCCCGGGCCTCCTCCCACCACCTCCCACCCACCCTAGTGGCCAACTTTCCTGGGAGAGGAAAGTCCTTCCTCCCAGGGCGGCCGGCCGGTGGCCTCCACATGCAGGGCAGGTGTGTGCTGACTTGGGAACAGGGCTCAGCTCCCACAGCTCGTGTTGCTCCTGTCGATACTGAGAGGGGTCCTGTTCCTGATTTTGAAGGTCCTCCTTTGCACAGGGTGGGTACATATTTCTCCCAGAACAGTACTTGATTGGTCGAAATGTTTCTCTTTTCTTATTTAAGTCCCTTCGGTATGAGTGGAGAATTGGGTTTGATTCAGGCTTAAACAGATGCCGTAGTAAATTTTGAGCAGTTATTAACATGTGTGGGAACATGATTTGGCAATAAGTTGGCGATCCCAGTCTGTGCCGCTGTCATTGAGCTGCGCACAGAAATCTTGATCTGCAGAGAAAAAGCAAAACAAAGTATCCAAAGTTCTGTTCCCTTAAAAGATACATGGGTGACTCCTTTCCCTTCTACTCGTCCCCCTCCTCCCAGCCTTGGTCACCCTTCTTATTACGTCACATCTTTGATACCTGAAGCACCCATTCAACAGGTAAGCACCAAGCCTCAATTATGACCTGGGGTTGTGCTTGCTCTGAAGGTTAGACCAGTGTGCTTGCTGTCCCCAGGAGTGTGCATGCAGGGCCACCCAGGCCACCCAGTGCAGCAATGGCAGCGCTGTCCCCGCAGGGCCCAGCCCTAGCCCTCCGGTTACACTGACTCCAAAGTGTGGAGGAGAGCAACAGATTTCCAGCCCAGGAAAGACCCTCGAGACCACAGAGAACAGTCCGGTTTGGGTTTTCAATCAATGATTTCCTAAGAGGAGTTTTCCCCTGGATTAAAGGCTTCAGGGAAAGGAGGTCCTAAGACTGCTCTCTAGATGCCCTTTATTTGCTAAAAATGACACCTGGCTCTACCTGGAAACCACACTGTCTCCACAACTGGTAATGCATAGCCATGTACCACACGACGGCATTTGGGCCAACACATGGTCACACAGGGCTTTATGGCTGGTGACATTGCAGCCACCCTAGCTTACCTGAGTAGGCTCTGAGGTGAGGAAATCCCCAGGGGCGCATTGCTCAGAATGCCTGCCTGCCACCAAGTGACATGTGACTGTATTTGTTCTCTACTGCTGCTGTAACAAATCACCACAAAGGTGGCTTAAAACAGCACAACACGTGTATTCTCTTGCCGTTCTGCAGGTCACAGGTCTGGCATGGTCACTGGGCTACAGGCAAGGAGTTGGCAAGGCTGCTGGACTCCAGGGAGAGCTCATCCTGTGCCTTTGACATCTGAACCAGCATCAGCAGGACCATTCCTCCCCACAGGCCCCTCTCCGCATTGTCCTCCTCCGCCCTCTTCCCCTTCTGCCTTTGAGGGCCCTGGTGATTGCCGGGGCACACTGACAGTGCAGGATTCCTTCCCCAGGTAAGGCCAACTGCAGGTGGCCCTGATTCCACCTGCAGCACCAACTGCCCTGTGCTCTGTAATGACACCACCTGCAGCTTCCTGGGACGAGGACACAGGTGTCAGGAAGTGTTATCCTGTCAACCACAAAAACACGGCTGTGCTTCCTGGGCGTGTGGCCTGGGTCCCAGCCCGCGCTGTGCCCTGCAGGGCTGGAGCCCGCGTCCCTGTTGGAGGGTGGCTGGTGGTCGCTGCTCTTCCTGACCCACAGCTGGTGCCTCCCCCCGGGGACCTCTGCCAGTTTCATCGATGTCAAACTTCATTTCTGTCTCACGGTCTCTTTGCTTTCCTCCTGATGATTCGCCAGCTTGTTTCTGTGGTTTCTATGGTTTCCAAATTCTTGCCACTCTTCTGTCATTTTTACACGTCTTGGAACTTGTCAATTTTGAATAAGAAAGTAAATGCTCAAATATGCATCAGACTCTTTAAATGAAGGCTGGAGGTGTAGGCCAGGGGGAGAGCACGTGTGAGGGTCTCAGTTCAACCCCCAGCAGCAGAACACTAGAACAACAACAACACCAAAAATCCACCACAACAACAAAGATCCTCTTCAAAGGACAGAAATAACTACAAGTCTTAGAAATATTTTTATGAAATATGTTGAATTTAAAATTGGTGACATATTCACAATTACTTGTTGTAGAGTTCTTCAGCTCATATTTAAAAGGGTGTCGTCAGCTCTCAACAGACAGTTCACAGCCATGTCTCTGCGGCCTCCCTCTTTCCTCCCTGAAACCATGGGCCTCTACACTCTAGGAGCAGCGATGGTGTGACCCAGCCAAGGCTCAGGGAGTAAGCTGCACCCCAACCCCAGCCCCGCCCCATCCACAAGCACGAGGGCAAGCCCCCGGCATGTTCTCACCAAAGCATCCAGGCTGCGGGCTCCTGTGTAGCCTGGGCTGTCCCTGGTTTCCAGGAAGAGAGGCCTGGAGGCAGGGGTCATGGGTGGCCATCGCTGATGGTGTTCAGCTTGTGCGTCTTAAAAGGAAACAGTGTAAATGTCCCCTGCCCCGTGCCAATCCGTCAGACCTTGGGTATGCTGAATGACACGTGGCTTGAAATTGGCTCTTGTAACCTGTGTGTGTTCACTGCAGCAGTCAGCTTGACTGGATTAAGGAATACCTAGAAACAGGCTAAAGCATTGTGTCAGGTGTGTCTCTGAAGGTGTTTCCAGAGGAGATGAGCATGTGGGTCTGAGTGGACCTCCCTTCAGGCCCAGGACCCCACTCACTTTCTTTCTCTCTTGTTTGAGGCCCTGGTTCGGCAGCCCTGCCCTCTAATGATTTCTTCTTCTTCTTTTTTTTTTTTTTTTTTGGTACCCAGAATTGAACCCAGGCATGCTTAACCACTGAGCCACATCCTCAGCTCTTTTTTATATTTTACTTAGAGACAGGGTCTCTCTAAGGTGCTAAGGCTGGCTTGAACTTGCAATCCCCCCCTCTTACCCTCCCAAGCCACTGGGATTACAGGCGTGTGCCACAGTGCCTGGCTCCGTTGATGATTTCTATCGTTGCTGTTTCTTAGGCGTCAAAGTCTCTGGTGTTGCTATGATGTGACCAACATTTACATCAGGTGTCTTTCCATAACGTGGTGGGCCTTATCCAATTCATCCAGGCCAGATGAGGAGAAGACTGAGATCCCCCAGGAGAGCACATGTGCCTCCAGGACACTGTCCGACAGGACCTGTCCCCTCCATTCTTCCTGCCAGCTGCCCTGAGGAGTGTCGACATGCCAGTCCCCATGATGGTGATTCCATCCCTAGAAATAAAGAGCAGTGGGCTGATCTACTGGTGGACAGACGCATCGATAAATACAGACAGAAGCAGAAAGATATCCTAGTGCTTCGGTTTCTCTGGAGAACTCTAACATTCTCCCGAAGGTCATTTTCCTCCTTAGTATTATATTAAGCCCAGTCTGACCTTGAGAAAATCAAGGGACAGAGGACAAGAGAGAGACGTTCAGTTCAACTCCTGCCAACACTCCTCAAAACCGTCAAGGCCTCGGAAAACCAGAGCCACCGTCCAGCTGAGAGGAGCCTAGGGAGATGTGGCCCTGGATGGGATTCTGGAACAGAAAGGGCGTCAGGTAAAAAGTAAGGAAATCTGAATCAGTACGCTCTTTCCTTAACCACAATGTACTGATATTGGCTCATCAGCTGTGATAGATCAATCATAGTAAAGTAAAATGTTGACCTCAGTAGAGAAAATCGGGAGTGGGGTACGAGAGCTCTCTGTACTGTCTTTGCACGTTTTCTATAAATCTGAAATATTCTAAAATAAAATGCTGTGTAGGGCTGGAGATGTGGCTCAGCGGTAGAGCACTTGCCTAGCATGTGGGAGACCCCGGTGCCACACAAAGAAAGCTTGTTTTACAACACATTTATTTCTCTACTTTTCACACACGCGGTTTGCTCTATGTATGGCCAGCTGCGGAGTCACATGTGAGAACGGTGGGGACAACAATGACCAAGGGCCTGCTCTCCGGGACCTTACAGTCAGCAAGAAACTGAACCAGGACGCACGCAGTGCAGGTGCACTTAGACCCGGGCCGCGGGCTGCAGCCGCAGAGCAGTGTGTTGGGCTTAGGTGTGCAGAAAGGGTGCGCCAAGGAACCTAGGGTTCCAAGGGTCCAGGAAGCCAAAGGGGCGGGCAGTGCTCACGTCACTGGTCCAGCAGAGAAGAGACCGCGTGGGGCCTCTTTGGTACCCAGTGTGCCTCGGTGGGGAAACTGGAAGGCGGCCGGAGGGTCCAGTGGGAAGCGAGCAGAACAGAGGAGAGAGGTGCAGGCCCGAGGGGCCCGGACACCTGTCAGCTGGGAGTGCTCCCTGCCCGCTGCCTGGCACGGAGGCCACCCTAGGGTCACAGTATCTGATTTACACATTCGTCATTGAAATCTGAGGAAAATCAGAAAAGAATAAAGAAAAAGCATCATCCTGCCTTTTAATTTTTTTTTCTTGTAGTTGTGAATGGACAGCCTGCCTTTATTTTTATTTGTTTATTTCTATGAGGTGCTGAGGATGGAAACCAGTGCCTCACATGTGCTAGGCAAGTGCTGTGCACTGAGCCACAGCCCAGCCCCTGATCTCTATCTGCTTTTAAAATAAATAAATAAACAAACAAACAAATAAATAAATAAATAAAATCTTATCAATGTTTTTTAACAATGTATTGTTTTTTCTTCTTTTTATTTGTTGATTTTATTTTTAGATATCCATGACAGTAGGGTGTATTTTGACATATTATACACACATGGGGTGCAGCCTGTTACAATTTCAACCCCATTCTTGTGGTTGAACATGATGGGGAGTTACACGGGTCATGCATATAATGTCACAGCAATAATTAATACAGTGGAAGGTCTCTGACCTTTGAAATAACGTCTGTAAAACTGACTTCTTAAAGTTCAGTTGTAGTTTTATTCTATTTAAAAAATGAGTATATTAGACATACTTCATGTTTATATAAATATGTCAAAATACTCTATCATGTATAACTAAAAATAACAAATAAGATTTTTTTAAAAAGTAAAATATATATATATAAAATTATATAAGGAGCATTTCTCCATAACTTAAAATAGTTGACAGATCCTTTGTGTGCATAGAGTCCCAGTACATGGTTGTGACATGATCTGTGTGTCCGTTTGTTTGTTTTGATTCTTTCGTCTTCTCTGTCTTTTGTTGTTACAAATGACATCACCATGGCCTTCTGGTAGGCAAAGTTTTTCTATTTGTATTAACTTCAATGTGGTCGATCTTAATGCTATTTGGTAACATTCTGAGAATGTGTTTCTGTGCCTGATGAGATTTGTGGTCACACACCCTCAAAGCCTGGCCTGCTCCACGTTTAGACCCTGAGTCTTGTTTCCTGAGCCGTGTGCACAGGTCCACAGAAAGGCCGCTAGGAGCGAGTTCTGCATGACTAGGAGCTTAGTTACTATGTGAAAGGCTCTAGCACAAAAGTCAACGTTGTCCACAGAAGAATGCCTGAAGTTGGCTTATAGCTGTCGTCACCTTCATGACTCGTTTCTCTTGAAAGGAGA